AAAGACAGAGTGTTAGAAATGCAAAATGATTCAAAATATTAATGTAATGCTAAGGATGACTGGGTAACAAATGGTACATTTGCTAGTATGCTTGACCTGACACAATTAATATTCCAGGTCATGCTTGGGTTTCCATGATGGAAGGTTTGAGGCAGAGAATTCTAGGGGAAAAATATATCTATTGTATAACTCATTTCTCTCTTTTTATTTTCCCTGACGAGTCAGAACCATAATCTTAAAAAAAAAAAAAAAAAAAAAAATCTGTGCTTTCACAGCTCATTTGCCATATTCACCACTGGGCCGCCGTTCAGCAGAAGGGCCCGATATAAGGAGGTCAGTAAGAAGCTATTAGCAGAGCCACCTCCTGAGATTTCTTTGGTCTTATTGAGTTGGAAGTTAGCATGACAGTACTGCAAATAACTCAGTTGTAGGTTTTTTAACAGTTAGCAGAGATTTCCCCATAGTGTTTGTCACTTTTGAAAATCATTCCTGGAAATGAGGTCCCAGAAAGCTGGCTTTGACAGAGGCCCTTCTTAGTAGTGAAGAACATGTGTACAGAAAAATGTATCGTTCTCCCTACAGACGAGAAGTATTTTCTATAACCTATAGTAATATTTTGGAGGGTAATATTTTCTTATTCTACGGACTCTTTCTCTAAATGTTGGTAAAATATTGGAGTCCTTGCGGGTGATTTGTCAAGATAGTCACTTTTCTACTGCTGAAAAACAGCAGCAACTATAATGGCTTTGTAGTTGAGCAACTATTATATTAAAGTGTGTGTGGGGGGAATAATGCTTTTAACATATTGTGCTGGTCTCAAGAAAATGTACGCATTTCTTAAGTACCAAAGCCTTTGATTCTCCAGATTCTTTGAGCTGTATAGTCTCCCTGTAGAGGATACATACATACATACATAGTAGGGCATACATCTGCAAACAGCATTCAGTGCATATGAAAGAATTTGCAGAAATATTTTTGCAGAGATATTTTAAAATGAATGGAAGCAATTTTGCTAGGGATGGGTCTGAACTGCAAAGCAGAATCAGACTCATCTACTCTTCTGTCTTACCAAACTTTCACATTTTTCAATCTGGGCTTAAAACCTTGCCACAAACCTTGGGGAGTTTAGAGAAAATTAGTATTAATTTTATCAATCTAGATTGCTCTGCTATCTGTCTGTTTGAATACTTAAACATATATAATTAAAAAGTAGAGCAATTAACAAGGATTGCTTGAAAAATGATTACTTAAAAATGCACTTGATAATTAATTTTGACCCAAATCTAACAAAGAGATTCAACTGCAGAAGCAGCAACTTCCTGCATAATGTCCAGCTGACCTCACTAGTACTCGAGGTCTCTTTTTATAGTCGAGCACATTACTTTTATGTATTTAACCTGACAGTATGGGAAACAGAACAAAATRGTTCTTTATTAAGGCATATTTTGAGCAGTAATAACTTGAAATACACAGAATCACAGTGCTGCCGAGTTCATTATGGCTAATTTTGGTGTTATTGAAAGTGATAACCAGTCCTGTTTGTGCACATAGAGATAGATACTCAGCTGCATTTCACACTGTTTGAACCCTATTCTCTCTGCTCCCAAACCGTTAAAAAAAGGAAATCCCAAGGGGGACAGACATTTTTTTTTCTCGATATAGCTTAAAAAATRCAGTTTCAGAAAGTCATTATGCTCATGGGGCCATTTATATTTCTCTAAATATGAAATAGCAGAACCAACACCATGTGTTGGAGCCCAGGAAACAGACCATTTAAAATTATATAATTTTTGGCAGGAAATATGAAAGTTTGAAATTTTTCATCTTTTTTTATTTTAGAAAATAAAGAGCAAATTATAATAAAATAGATTGAAATAATCTACATTGTCTTATCTTAAAAGTCCTAACCAGTTTGGTCCTTATAATTTTTTCACTAAAACTTAGAAAATGGTGAACATTTTTGGGCAGATGAAGCCCTAATCTGAATTTGCTACTGATGAACACATATATGCCTGTCATCGTTGGAGAGTCATTATTGAGCCTTAGTGGTTTATTCCAGACCACCCTGATTATCTGTGGTGAATGTGGAAATGTTTTTCTTCTGAAAAACTTTATTTTCAATGATATTATTATTTTCTATAAAATTTGATGAGTTTCATAGACATACAGTCAGAAAGTGATATCTTCTTGAGCTTAGGGAGCTCTACAGTCATGACACAGCTGAAACGTGTCATCTCCACATTAAATAGGACACAGCAAATGAAGACAGATGGCCCAGGCTGTAGGAACTGGTGGAAAGATAAAGCAAAAATACAATGAGAGTTTAGTATAARCAGGTCACAGACAAACACTGTTCTAATTTACTGTCAGCAACTGTSTTGAGTGAAGGCAAAAATGACCAGTATGGAGGCAAATCGTGTTGCACGGGTGAGATGAGTGGGTAAAGAGACATAAAGCCTGTGGCCCAGAGTTGCTTTGTATAGCTGCATGTGGAACCCAACTAATAGGGAAGAGCTTGTCTGGGGCATCTTGTGCAACAGGTTCTTATTAACTACATAGCAAACCTTTAGTGGAGACAATGTGGAACTTGAGCTGATGTCGCAACTGTAGATCACGGGATGTCTGCGAGCAAAAATATAGAGGACTGTTACAGAATTACAAAATCACAGAATGGTTGAGACTGCAAGGGACCTCTAGAGATCACCTAGTCCAAACCCCCTGCTCCAGCAGGGACACCTAGAGCACATGACAGAGGGTCACAACCACACAGGCTGGGAAGATCTCCAGAGAAGGAGACTCCACAACCTCCCTGGGCAGCCTCTTCCAAGGCTCTGTCGCCCTCAAAGGAAAGAAGCTCTTCCTCACATGGAGATGCAACTTTCCGTGTTTCAATTTGTACCCATTASCCCTTGTCCTGTCACTGGCCAACACCATTGAGAAATTTGTAACAGTGCAGTGAATGAAAACAATTATTAACACCATGAAAAGTATCTGTAACTTTATGAGTTGTTTTTGTGAAGAAGAGCCAGATTTGCAGAATCAAATTTTAAGATGCAGATGAATTCTACAGATCACACAGATGGCCTTGCAATTTTGCATACACTCCACTGACCCTGCTTGCCTGCTATTCAAAGCCTGGATCTCTGCCATTTTAGTTTGGCATCCTATAGAGCTGAAGAAGCAGTCAGTGGTTGTTTGGCATAAAAATGTTCCTGCCACGTATCTCTATTCATGTCCTCTTTCCTAACACACATTTACACCGATAGTAGAGTGGAACAGTTTGTAGGGTTTCTGCTAAAAGGAAAACATGTAGCTCAGACTCTAAATAAATTGTCGTTAGGTCCAGATCATTACAGAGTTGAAGAATTTAGTCCACAAAATTTACCAACAGTATTTTGAATAAGCTCCCGTCTCTGGCTATCTTCGTCCATTAAACAATAACTTTTATATGGGCCTTATTTAACTTTTTTGACACCAGGAGTTGAAATTTCCCCATAGGATACGCTAATGAAAAATGCATTAGAGCTAATTGGGGAGCATTCAATCCTCTCAGCCCCAAGAGGTTAATACTTTATGAGGAAGCTGATGCTCTACTTAGTTTTCTCAGGGGTCCTTAGTAGTGAGCCAGAAGAGAAATGCAAGATTATAAACATTTACTCTTTTCCTAACCTTTCCCACACCTTGAAATTAATATCTTTTTCTATTGCCATTCAGTAGTTCTTAAGAATTAAAAATATGATAAAAGCAAAATGCAATATATTCTAACTGAACAGATATAGTCTAAAAACCTTGGGAGTACTCCAAGTACATTGTACTGGAAAATATCCTTAAAGCAATTCAAGATTTTTGAATTATTTTTTACCAGATATATTTGAAGTAAATATCAACTGATTTATTGAAGATGTGGTGGCTTTGTACAATATGATACAGTAATTCTGATGTTTAGCACATAAATCAGTATTTATTAAACCAGAATGAATATCTAACTGTTCATAATTTATCCAGTAAACTCCCATAAGTCTATCTGTGAATAATTTTTATGCAGATGATAAAATACCTGCATGTGTTGCTGTTCAGAATGTTTTGGGAATTATCTATTGCAAAATTTTGACTTCCTAGATATTCACAGATTGTTAATGGCAGAAATTCCTAGCTAAGGATTTGAAATCTGTGCTTTACATTAGTAAATGTTATGTTATATAGAAATATTACAATAGTGAAGCATACTGTTTCTGTATCCTTAAAAGTATGGAATGTAAACTTCACCATGAAGCTTGTGAAATTTTTGATTCAATTCTTAATTGAGAATTTAGAATCTTTTTTTTTTTTTTGGTGAGTTTTATACTAGTAAATCTAAATATATTTGAATAATTAAATGAAATTAATGTGAGCCTTTTCCAGGAAAACAAGCAATTTCTGATTTTTAGTATTCAGTAATCAATCAGTTTTAATTCTAAAAATACTGTAATTGTACTGTGGACATTATCTTGAGGTACAGTTTAAAGGGACAAGATTTATCTGTTTACTTGTATAAACATTTTTTTTATTATTATTTGGACATAACATTTTTTTTTTTTTTTTTWATTCCTATGGTGCATATAATCCTTCAAACTTTAAACATCAACAAAAACAAACATAGAACTTTTAGTTTAACACTACAGCCAAATTTGTATACATTTAGTAATTTTTAAGGAAAAACTAGTATGTTTGTTTGACCACCACAGAGGAAGATGAAATACTGAATATGCCTGAAAGTAAAGATGGATTTGAGAAACATGAAGCTCAGCTGTATAACTCTTGTTTCCATAAAAAAAACTATTCCCATTCCAAGGGCTGAAATGTCTATTATACCTCAGATTTTCATACTTAAACTCTTTGGCAAACATAATGGAGTTTAATCTGGAGATCTATCCCGTGTCAGTAGTCATCAGAAACTTTTTGTGAAAGTGTTGTGTATTTTTTATTTGTTGAATTCAAAGATGACCCCACGTTCTCTTCAGATTGCAGGTGTCTACAACTCCCCTTTCAGAAAATGTCCGCATCCAATGGAGCTCCTGTTACGGAAGTCAAAGCCACTGAGCCACAGGAAGCAGCCACCAAAGAGGCCCCTCACATGGGAGCTCTGTGACCCCTCACTCACTGCAGGGTCTCTGACTTTCCCTGCAGCAGAACCTCTGCCACCTATTCGCATCCAGAAACCTCAGGTAATTGTAACATTTCTCAGGGTCTTGTAGGCAGCTTTTATTTATAGTATTAATTCTTGCATAGTATTAATGCTTGCACTTGGGATGTAACATCTCTGAAACAGATTTCTTTGAAAGAAAAGAAAACCTAGGAGGTAGATAAAAGCAATGAAATATGATTTCTTATGATTTCTTAGACTTTACTTTGGTCCTTTGTTAAAAGAATAGCATTTCAGAGATGTCAAAGGGAAGATATGATATAACTGAAATTTTTATTGTGACTCATTGGAGGTAGAATTCTGAAATTACAATTTTAAATTATTAAAACTTAAAATATTAGAAATGGAGAATGGTAAGACAAGATAACCAGCTTAAATATTTTTTTTTCTCCTTTTAAGAATGCTTTTCATATGAAGGTAGAAGACAGCCTCTCAAAATAGTTTCTGATATTTTGCAGATCCTACCACGTATCAGTTTTAATTACAAAAGTTTCTACATGTTCTGCATGATTCACCAATTGTCCAGCTTCCCAGCTTATCTATCATGGCCTCAATTTTAATTTCAGTTGATGCCAACATATGTTGCAGACAGCTTTTTTTCTCTTCTATGAAGTAATGGATGTCTCTGAGATGATGCATCAATGTCCCACAAGATGACAACACACTTTTCACAGCCTTATTATCTAAACTTGCTGGTAATAGGCAAAAAAAAACACAGCAGATAGATCTTTGAGACCTGTATGTTACCAATAACAGTAAGAATAGAAATATAGTTGTTCAGGAATATAGTTTTTCAGGAATACACTTTTTGCCAGCAAACACCTGATATACTTCCTGTGGGTTTAAAAATGTTAGATTTTCCCCTGTCTTCTGCAGATTTTTTTTCAGATTGACAAATTTAGTGAACTTCTACTTACCTCACACTTTACCACACTGTTAGAGCCTGTTTACCTTTGAATGACCATGGTGTCTCCAGAACCACTCACACCTTTATTTTTTTTTTTCCATAATTCTCTTCGGTATTTTGGTTRGAAAGAAAGTGCTTATAAATGAGTGCTTCTAAGAGACTTCCAATGAAGCTTTGTTTAGCATCAGAAATCAAACAACTACTCAACTAAAAAATGTATCATGTATGTTCGTAGGTATTTTACTCTACTGAAGGGATATAGCCTTTCCCATTGGTTTAAGACAGACCTTGGTAGAGGTGATATATACCGTCTTAAGTCAAAACCACTTCTGGGTTCAAACCATGTGCAGCCATGTCTCCTGCAACAATATGCCTGTGGCTGTGACTTATTGACTGCATCCATGCTACTCTGCAGCAAGCAGACTTGAGCTCTCTGGCTAACCCTCACAGAACGGGTTCTTCTCACCTCTACATCATGCCTTAGTGTAGCAGGCTGAGGATGTCCTCGTGGGGTAAGCAAAGGCAGGAGTGGCTGGGTTAAAGCACAAGGAGCAGAAGCAGGTCTGAAAGCATGGCTGGAGATGTCTGGAGACACAGAGGTGAGCCAGCCTGGATCCATGCTGCTTGTAACCGTGAGGAGCAATTTCAAGACACTGTTCTGTCCTTCATTGCTGCTCTGTCCCACCTTGACMGTGGAGCTTCCTCATCTAATGATTACATCCAAAACAAAATGTGAGCCAGCAGAGAGAGTACAGGTGATCAGTGAGTTTGGAGTTGAATATAAATTCAAAACCAAATAAACATGACATTATAGTCTTACCTATGACCATCTTTCAGTGGGATGTGACTGAATGCTATGTAGGTTTTTCAGGACAAAGATTAATATATTGCTTAGTGTGCATGATACATAAATCATGCTTTTAAACAAAGAGGAGATTTTTTTCCAATGCRCTCTTGCGAGGGCACTTTACTGTAAATAAAGTATCTTACCAACTTCTGTCCTGATTTGTAATATTTTGTAGAACTTTCTAGGTTTAGACACACACAGAGCAGTCATAGACAGATAGAGCAAACCTTTAGAGCAAACCAGAAGAGTTCTGTTTATTTTCCCCACCTCAAAGAGGGAATTTGCTATATAATACTTTAATCCTTTCAGCACCCTGGGATATACACTGTGGGGTAAGTTTTCAAAGCACAGTGCGTGGATTTAGCCGTGCGACTCTTATTGATGTTAATGGGAGTCACACGGCTAAATCCCTGCACAACACTTGGACAATTTAGGGTTGTATGTCTAAGAAAAGGACACTGGCTTGAGCTGATGAAACAGCTGGAAATGAAAACCCATCAGAATGTATCAGACTGAAAGTTGTCTGGTGTGACAGTAAGGAATTTAATTACTAGCTATTCTTGTGTCCTAGTTCTCTGTGGTAGCACTTTTTGGCTCCAAGCTTCTTCTTTTTCTGATATATATCAGATCCCATGCAAGTCACTGGTTACTTTGCCGTTTGTTCAGATACCTACAAATATCCACCAACTATCTACAGATTTCCGTTTTCTATAGGGATATTTATTTTAAATGAGAATGTGAATTATATAAGAAATTATATATAAGAATTATATGTAAGAAAACAAGGGTTAGCTTGCAGTTTAGCATTTTATAGGTTAGGTCTGTGTATATAAAATAGTGTATTTAAACACAAAGTTTTGATGTTTCTGACATATCTGTTRAATCTATCATTTTTATTACCAAATTAACTAGACTGTAATTCTAGATGGAAGCACAGATATGCTAAAATTAGTAATCTGTTCTTTCGAAAACATTAATAACARAAAACATATTTCTATCTTCAGGGTTTTTTTTGCACGTCGTTGGCTATCATGGAATGGGGACAGTGAAGTAATGAGTTTTCATGTAGATTATAATTTTCGACACAAGTTTCTAATTTTATGATACAGTAGTAAGAATATCTGTGGATCTAGCAACCCTTTTATCTGGGAAGCTGACTGGCAACAGGAAGATTTATGCTATTCAGCACAAATTTTAAAATAGAACATGAGAGAGTTGCTTTCAGAAAGAAAACTGTTGGTCAACTTCCTTCTCTACCTAGCTTGATCTCCACAGGGAGATTTATTTCTTGAAGCAGGATGCCTGAAATGCTTCTAGACACTACCACAATAAAAATGTTTGTAAACACCATTCTGCCACAGGTTACACGACCGTTGAAGCTAATCCTGCAAACTGGAAATAGGCAAATGGATTTTTTGGAGGTCTTGTCAGGTTAGATACATTCCTGAGGTGCCTGTTGCAGGGGAAGACTTCTTCAAATGTGTTTCAGAGAAAGGGGAAAATCTGCAGGGAAGATTTAGAATTACCCTCTTTTTTACAATATACCCTGATTTCATTAATGATGACACAGCCTTACTTGGGAGACCTTTGCATAGTTATACTCTTTCCATTCCTTCCCATTAGAATCGCTGCACTCTATTAATTTTATTTGAATTACAAATTGACAAAGGGGTAGAAGATTTTAGGAATTAAAGCTAGAAAAAAGAAATACTTGGATATCTTATGTGAGACTTTGCTGGGTGGAATATGAGTTTTATGATGAAGAAAATATACAGTATTATAAAAGACAATTTTCTAAAATCAAACATATATTTATGTAGATATTATTGGATAGAAGAACGTTTCTTCCTCCTTTCCTTTGCATATCCATCTCATGAAAATATCTTGCAATATAATCAAATAATATAATCAAATTCCAACTTCTTTCTCATAACTTGGTCAGTAGATTATATATCACCAYTGTTTACCAATTTTTATAACCTGTTCTTTTACTGTTTTTTTCTCTAATAAGTTATAACACTTTTCATTCTGCTTTTAAAGGTGTATTATGACCGTTTTAAATTAATGTACTTTTCTGGAGATTTTGAAAAAAGTGAATGCAAGGAAACACCTGCGAGAARTGCAAAGACTATGCTTATCTGCTTATTAGAATCTTTAAACAGATCTTCAAATCATAGTGCTGTGCCTTTAAAAAGCAAAGTTCCAATAAAAATCCATTAACTGCTTTCAAATATAGCAATCCTCCTGTCCAGCTGTGAAAAGTACTAGATGATACTTATTTGCCATTTGTGTTATTTACGGTCCATGACTTTTATGGTAACTGGTTCCTATTATTGGTTTCTATTAATGTAAAACATAAGTGAACATAAATGAGGCGTGAATCATTTCTTTTTATTAGCCCCACAGTCTTCACTCAGTGCTTGCAGTAACTCCAGCTGTGACTTGTTAGTGATAACCTATTCAAAGAAGGATATCTTTTAAGAATAAAGGCCATCATTAGGATTCTTTGCTCATATTTTTGAAGGTTTCAGCAGGATCAACAATGCAAAAATAAAATAAAAATTATTAGCAACATTGCTAAGTCAAGAGTTGTTACTAAATTGTCCAGAGCTTAATATGGTACTAATTGCGCTCCAGGTGACTTCATACTAGTTAGTATCAAAAGCAAAGATGTGCAATACATTACCTGACAGTTCAGAAAAGGACTTTCTGCTGCTACTTATATGTGTCATTAAGTAGTAGATACAGATATAGTCACTTATTGAACAATTTAGTGTGAAAATGTGGATGTATTATTGTCAAAAAAGTATAAGCTTTCAAGGTACTCCATAAGAATAATGAAATTAATGTAATTAGACTCTTAAAACTTGGTCTCTACATGTACAATATTGCAGTCATTGGGTTAAGTTGTATTAAAAGAAGGCTTAAGTTATGCATTGAATTCTCTTCCAGATATGTTTTTAGTTAAAATTAAAAAGATTTCTTTTTTTTTAATTTAAAAGGTTATCAATGTAGAAGAAATGACTTGAGGTATTTTGATACCTAGATGCAGGTGATACTTGTCTATCAGGTTTTTTCATTAATATTTTTTCCATGGAAAAAATATGATGTCCTGATCAGTTCTAACAATGCTTTCTTTTGAAATGGTAGATGTTTCCTACTTATTAAATAATATATCTAGTTAAATAAATCCACAGTGCACATTTCTCCTTCGCTGAATAGGGCTTTAGTCCGTGTTATCAGCCTTTGTGTTATCTGTAACTCTCCATCAGAATGAACTGCTTTAATTATTTTGGAAGAAAAATCTTACAACACTTCCCAGAAACTCYGTGTCATCATCAGCGGTGTGTCATGAATAAAGGAGGGAAAGAAAAGAGCTCTAACCCCACAATAAAATATGTACATCATCCTGTACCTTCCAGGGGCCTTTCCGTGATCCCGCTGAAGTTTTGCGGCAGCGCTACAAGCCTTTGGAACCAACCTTGCGAGTGGCAGCATCAATCAATTCAATGGAGAGGGCTAGAGAGGAAATCAAGAGAGAGGAATGGAGAAACCGTATACATGACAATGAGTAAGTTCTTTGTTTTATCTTACATTGATATGAATTTTTTTTTCTCTCTTGCTTTGAGAAACCTTTCATGCTTGACAAAATGAAATGTCAAACCTGACAGCTTACTAGCAAACATTTGGTGTACATACCTCTAAATTCTGTGTCTTTAGATTATAAACTGTTCAGGGCAGAGACCCTGTCTTGTAATTGTATGACATGTGCCATCCATTTCTATGGAACTATAGAAGAACTTTCAATAATAATAATAGGTGATGCAACAGATGGACTTAATGGGAAATGAGCAAACAAAGGCAAAAATAGAGAACCTTTTTCCCACATGCACCTTGCAAAGGTACTGGTTCATCCTTTGTTTTCAGAGAGCTTAAAGATTATGGGAGAAAAGTTGGTGTTGCATGCCAATGAGGCTTGCAGTCTCTCCCGGTAGACAACCACAGCTTCCTTTGAAGGGAAAGGAGCATATGCTGTACATGTGAGAACATCGTAGTCCTCTTTGAGCTGGTTCTTTTTTCTGAGCCACAGAGTCTGTAACAGCTTCGGCAGGGGGTAAGTTCTTCAAGTTCTTTTCCATAAAAACCCATACAGACAATCATTCCCAATAGATACTCTTTTTTTTTTTTTTTTTTTTTTTTTTTTTATTGTTACGAATGGCACTCTTTTGGTCCCATCATAATAAAAGCCAATTAAGTCATTTACTCTCACTTTGTAGTTAACTAATAAATTATGACTTTTTTTTGGTTGACTTTCACCTGAATTTGCTGTTCTTGCCAATCCTTTGACATTTTAATACCAGAATTTAGGGACAGAAAGGAATCACTTTTCCTCATGAGCAGTCTGTGATCCATTGTTTCATTGGGACACTCACTATGCTTTTCCATCACTGCTATATTTCAGGCATTTTTTTTTATTAGCTCCCTGTTGCCTTTGTCAGCTTAATGACTGGGAATTAATTCTACAATCAGCTGTACTTGCATATAGTAGCGTTTGTTTTGATGTTGSATCTTTTTCTCTCATTTTTTTACTTTATTTATTATTAACACTGACTTTAAAATCAAATTCTACTCAAAAAAAATTCTGAAAGAAAAAAATCTTTCATTTCTAATACTTAATTACTTGTTTCTGCCAATAAAATCTCAAAACACTGGGAAATGATTCATGTTTTATCTCACAATTAAAGTGTTTTTGCTCTGAATCAGGTTTGATTATCTGTTATAAGATGGGCCGYGGTATTCATCCTTAGGCACAACTATATTGCACAGTCTTTGTCTGGTAAGATTTGATGAGATCTTCCATGGAGATGTCAACTTTTTAAAAAAGTTAAGTAAGTCCTTTCTGGTGAGCTCACCAGATCTTTTCCTTGTGAACAGCTTGGTCTTAAACTTGTAGTCTTCAACTCCAACATCAATCGGTCAGAAGTCCTTATTCACACCATAGACAAGGAAACATTTAGTGGCATCCTCAGTGCATGGAAGCCTAACACCAGCAATTCTCGGAGTCATCCACACTAAATGCGTAGTATTTTTGGGCTGCGATCATTCTGTTTGTGCCTCAGATTCAGCCAACCACGCAGGGGTCACATCTGTACCCTTGAGAAGGTGATGGCAGAGTTGCAGGTCACCGTCAGGACTAACACTCGCCAGCGACGCTGCAGCCGCCGTGAGGGATGCTGGCCTCGAGGGAGGAGTCAGCAGAGGGCTGCTCACATCCCACCGTGCCTTTTCACAGCAGTGTTTGTTGTCAACTGACAAATTTCTGCCTCTCCCTGTGTACTTTGGGACTGTATTTATTCCTCGTAGAGCTTCTGAAGCTGATTGTTTTCCTAGTTTAGAAAATATAGAGAAAGAATAGAGAAAGAGTATGGGATTTCTTGCAAAAGTTTGTTTTTGCTTAAGATGATGTAAACTGAATTCCTGAGGTCTGTTTATTTCTGGAATGAGTTGCAAGGCACAGGATCTTTTAAGATATGAAATTACTCAGTATTGCATACCTTCAGTTTTGTACTGTGAAGACAACATTCAGAATCTCCCCTCACCTCCAGTTATATAAGGGCTCTTTTCTATGGTGACATTTCTCCTATAAGTATTTCAAACTCTAAGAAAGCTCTAGCTTCTGGTAAATGAAGAACTAAGAGAGAAAGCAGTGATAAAGGTTGAGGCAGGCAAGGCAGAACAATGGAACAAAGAACATTGTGCTGTCTCTGCACCTTATAATGGAATTCCCTGTTTAGTAATGAAGGATCAGCTGGGTAATCTAGTGTAATAAAAATKATTTCTTTTTTTCTTAGGTAGATGAAGCTGTTCTTGTCATCATTTTCACACAAAGGAAGGGATTTCTCCCTCCAGGTGCATAGGAGTAACAAATTGATTGACCACTTAAACWAGTGTCTAGTCTGGCACCAGCTGGATCTGACAGATTCAGATAGACTAACTGTGGAAAGTTATTTACTTGGTTGCATGCAGCAGCATTCTGGCCTCATTTTCCAAAGTACATGAACGTAGATTATTTTCTACATTTTCTAGACTTTTCTACATTTATGTTTATCTACATTATTAACTCTGAAATCTGTGTCAGGTAGCATGTATGATGCTTTGCAGTATTCCATTGAACATAAAGCTGGAATACACAGAATGAGGAGCACTGTGGTGATAGACACACAGCCGGCCACTCTCAAGCTGTGTCATCTCTTAGGTCCTCACAGGTTTATTCTCAGCAGGATGACACTTTCCCTTAAAACCAGCTCAGGTGTTTCCATGCCGCGTGATGCTGTGCAGTAAAGGTGTACTCATAGCAAATTAATGATTATTAATTAGTGGTTATTCAAAATAAGCTGTCTGCTTGGAGAACATCAGTATTATGAGCTTCCCAGTATTGATGGAAATAAAAATTTAAAAGCTCATTCTGCACTGATTGGCAAAATTTAATTTCTTTCTTAATTTCTTTCTTAATTTCTACATTTATAAGATCTCTTTCTGTGCTTCTGATTTAGCTGCAATGAAAATGGCCACTACATTTTGTCATAGAAATATAATGCATCTGAAAACTTTTTTCAAATTATACTTACTTTTTCTTGTGCTTTGCAACTTCAGCAATTTGCATATTTTCCGGACTGTTATTGTATTATGATAAACAGGGATTATCATATATTTTCAGATAATGTTTTCTTAACAGTTCAACTTCTATTTGTAACTCTTCCATTTATTTTAATTACTAGCACAGTGTGCAACATTTATTAATCAGCAGAGTCTTTTTAAGTTAAAATACTAAATTAGCTAACCCCATTAACACAGAATACTCCAAACAAGCAGTAATAGGAGAGGTAGTTACTGTGCAAATCGTATTATACATGCGGGTGCTCTAGGGCACAGTTAAGCATGATTACCCTCTTTTGATCCAGTATTCCTCTGCTTCTTCCAGCTAATTTCCAGTGGAAATTTACAAAGTAGCGCCTTCATTTTTCCATCTTAATTTTTCTAATGAAGTTCTGGTACTTTGTAACACTGGGGATGCAGATAATAAGTCTGTGTATAATTAAGAAGTTCCAGAATTTGCTGCAGAAGAGATCCTTTTTGCTGCCTACCAAAACTAGATTATGTTTTTCTTTGACATTTTACTGCAAACATGGGTTAAACAAAAATGGGCCAGAGAATTCTTAGATTTACTGACCTTTGGATACAAAATGATTTATTGTTTATTGAAAAAGCATCYGTATGTATTTAGTATACTGTTACTGACACCGGCACGTATATTACAAACAATGTCTGTAACAGTTATCCAACATTGTTTCCTATTGAAAGAAATATTGCACTGGAGGTAATCTGACTAGATACCTTAAGTATATTAGCCTGTCTTTATATGGCATACAATACTTGAATTTTAATGTGGGCTAAATTGTGGCTGGCAGTTCTTCTACTAGGGAAAACCATTCTAATTCTTACATTTTTCCATGAGTGAAAAGATAAAGAGACTCTTGGATTAGACAGAGTAGTGACTTCACATATTAGCCTAATTTTAAAGCTTAAAATTTATTACAGGTTTTATTTAGAGGAAATAAATAAAAGATTCATAGCTGCCAGATGGGAAAGCATAGTCTGCTTGGACTCGTTTGTTCATAGTCTCCTCTAAGGTGAGGAAGCTGTCTCATTCCTCTCACATTGCCATAGGCACCAGGTGCCTCAGCGTCTAGTGCTCCTTCTATCATCTCTGTCAGGCCACCTGGAAAGCCTTCTGAACCTAAGAGGCCTCTTCCATCTCCTGTCAYAAGGGAGATAATAGAATAGAAGAGCAAGAACAGAACGAAAAAAAATGACGGGTGAGAAGATGTAGGAAGAAAGAATGAAGGGTCCAAAAGATGGGGAAAGAAGGGATGGAAAATGAAATTACTAGTAGCAAGGCAGGGGTGTAGGACAGAATGAATGAGAGAGAGAAAGCAATCTTTGTTTTTCCTTTATCAGCAGCTATCATCTAAGATGTTTTTCAAGGGTTAACTATATACAAATCACAGTTGTGAGCCACCGAATTGCCTACCTAATCAAGATTTCTATGACTTTTTATTCTAATTAGCTTCATTCAGCCTACTGTGACCCTTGCAAAAGCAAAGCTGGTCTTCATTACCAGAGACACTGCCAGCTTTGGTCTTCATCCTCACTCAAAAAATGTGTATATAACACTACTCTCTGTAATACATGGCTTCCCATTTCAGTTCCAGCTCTTCCATCCTGCCTTGAATGTGTTCTTTGGCATATCTCTTATGCGGGTTTTGGAAATGATTGGGGTAAGAGAGGGGATCGCCTCCCACTAAATCGTTACCATTTGGTGAGTCCCACTGCAGTGAGCTTTGTGCATAAAACTCTTCCAATCTACATTTGGGGAATTTTTAGTAGCATCATACTGTTTTCTGGTGTTAATTTTCTGCCATCATACTTTGTCACATTCAGAGCACATTGTCTTTAGTTTTGAGGAAAAGCTACATGAGGTGTAAATATAAAACCACAAACACCATACTATTATTAAAGGGTTTTTTTTACTGTTTACATTTTTTTACTTTTATTGTTATTGAATTATAATGACTTTTTTATAAAGACTCATTAATTTGGTTAACCTACTTAATACAAAACGTTTTGATGTTCTTTTTTAAATACTTATGCACATAGAGTAATGAAGATTCTTGCTTGATTTAAGCATACGTTGAATTTGTGAACAGAAGGTCCTCTTCTGCAGGTGGAGCATTGTCCCTGTAAGGATCTGCTCACCTGGTTTGGATAGCCGAACTGTGGATATAGGCAGGAAAAAAGTTTCAGATTATTTTATACTATTCTACACCATTACTATTAATAATGGTTGCTTTACCTATCTTCCCTCACCAATGTACATTCAAAGCTACATGGCACATATTCTGCCTTATTGTGTTAAAGAAGATATGCAGCAGAAGATTAAATTTATGCCAAATTTCATGCGTATGATACTGTTTGTTGCATCTTAAAGTGTTATAATATAGGTTCTATATAAATATATATCATGTTAGAACATGGACTATTCTGAATATATCAACACGAAGTTGAACTGATTTGTAGTAAAATGAAACCCTGCAAAATAAATTTTACAAATAAACTGTGCTTATTTTTTTTTATTTTCATTTTTTGCTTTATCTTCCACCTTTGTCATGAAATCTTTTTTTATTGTTTTGTGTATACGTTTTGCTGAAACAGTATTCATACTGAATTGTGAATGTTATGGCTTAACTAAATTCTATGCATATATAGTCAAATCCCTAAACTGCTAGCCTTGTCTTCTCCCTTATGTAGTCCCCTGAGAAAGCAAATTTTCTTTCATGTCTGAACAGAAGAAAAATGTACTATTAAAATGCAATTCAGAAGTGATAAAAACTTCCAAGTGGAGCAGCCGGCTCGCAGCACCTTCGATGTGCTCTCTGGGACACTGGGGCCACATTAATTTGTGTGTATGTGTGTGATGTCCATCCCATGTGCAAATTAGCMCTACGAGTACTGTAATCTATATTATGTGAGAGTGTCCCTACCCATGAACATATACGTGCTATTCTGGTTTTGTGTAATTTAAAAGTCTGCTAACTCAGTGTTTTAGTTTGCTAACTTTATATGATATTTGTTAATGATATTTCTTAGAATAAGTTGATATAGGTTGCAAAATAAATTCTGTGATTCTAAAATACGTTTTGGGGAGAAGAGTAAAGGAAGTCATATAATGTATTAAAAAGGGAAATTAAAAGCTAAACAATCACCAATGTTTTACTAAGTGCAAATAACACTTCCTGTAAATTAGCTTATCAACTGAGAGACTAAAGATAATCTTTTCTTTATCTTTCTTTATCCTCATCTTTATATGATCTTTTTTTTTTTTTTTTTTGACTAGTTTGCACAGGGACTCAGGACCTCTGAAGAAGATATTTCAGTTAGAAAAATATTTTAGTTGTTAACATCTGTAGTTGTGGCAGTTAAAGTGAAGTTTTAAACTTCTGAAACGTATGTTTCTAGTTCTACTGTCTAGTCATTTTTCAACCTCTTACCACACGTGTTGAATAAAGATCACCCATTGCTTTTTTAGAATACCAGCAATGATAAATATAATTCTCAAGAGCTTAGTTTATATTAAAATGCACATATTTGCTCTTATAAATCTCTGGCGAGCCTAGATGGACTGAGAGGATGCACTAGAAATATTTCCCTCCTCTTAGAACCAYGAGGATAAGGTTAGGTGTGGGATTCCGTTTGGAGTGAGCTGCCTGTGAAGTGAGCGTGAGGTTCTGCAGGAATGAGCTCTCTGCGGCTTGTGTGGTGCCTGCCTGTCCCGACAGCTGGTGCAGATTTCATTGCCAGGTTAGGCTTGAGGTGTCTACATGCAATCCTAGAGCCGAAACAGATCACAACACGTTGAATTCTGGTCACTTCCTCTCTACACCATGCCAGAGCATAGGACAGCCAAACAAATCACCTGATAATGCAATGCTATATCTTTAWGTATAAAGTATTAGTTTTATGCTACTGTCCATGCTGTCTATGACTTTTTGTTCAAAATTCATTAAAAACAGCTAGAGGAGAAATTGCAACAATCCTCCCACCATACAGTAGAGGAATATTTAAGAGGCAGTGGAAAACAGCAGGAAAATATGTCAGTGTATCCTGTAGCATGGGTACCTATGATTTCATCAATCCTAYACTATCCAGAGTAGACTAACACTAATTTTAAACTATTCTCAAATTTCAGATTTTTGCCATTTTCTTCATATCACAAAAATGATAAGTACGACCCATCAATTCATAGATCAGGTAAATATGGCCAAGAAACTTACGGAATCAAGCATTTCCGAGAAGAGCAGCCTGAGAAGTGGATAGCAGACAAGGTGAGACACTGCAAAAGTTAAAGGTTTGTTTAGACTATTACTGTATTAGAACAAGGTGAATCTGGGCCTGATGCAGAGATCACTGAATGCTATGTCATGTGCTAAATCACATAATTAGTGTTGATTCAAGAAGAACAAGCTTCCTCCTTCGTCTTTCTGGTCATCTTTCTGGTAAGTTAAATCTGAGGACATTCAACACCTTTCCCACTTGCAAGACAAGGTTTCAAGAGCATGCCTGCAATCTATCCTTGCTTAGATGACGCCTACGAAGATTTATTGTTTCTGTGTTGCCTTTCCTAATTTAGGACATAGGACATATTTAGCAATGACTTCATTCAGAAAATTGTGGCAAAAACTGGAGAAAAAAATCGTATTCTTATATATTTTGGAAAATTCTAAAAATGATAATGTATTTTTTTTTAATGATCTGATCATTAAATGTACTGATTTGCCAGCTGCATCTTACATTTCTTCTATTTGTGCAATACTACAAAAGGGTGATTTTCCTCAGAACTTTCAATGTTATATAAATTTTATTCAGTGGAAGGAATCTAATACTGTGTGGGTTTTTAAAAGATTAAAACGTTCCATCTTGTAAAGCATAATTCAAAAACAACAAAATGGGAAAAAAGACGATTGAAGTACTGCTTTTCAGCTGTTTTTCTAGGTTCTTGACATTAGGAATGTCAAGCATTAGGAAGCATGAGGAAGTAAACGGTTCTGAACTTCATGCTGAGTTTACACTAGAACTGAAAAAGAAAAGATATATATCCTGCTAAGGCAGATTCAGTTCTTTTTCCAGGGAATTTCAAGAAAAGGAATGATTGTCTTCAACATTGTACACTAGTGCAGAATCAGTGAAAGAGGATGAAAAATAACCAAAATCATGTTGTAACATGAGAGGGTGTATATATTTGATATATTTGACTTTTTTTGTACTAATTATCATAATTAATTAAAGGTATAATAAGTTATTTCCATTAAATCAACTTGTCTTTGTAAATATATAAGAAGTTCAATAGATATTAGTTTGAGAAGTGGTTTTTTTTTTAAGATCAGAACTTAGCTATTTTAAATAAATTGTGTTGCAAATGAAGACAAAAGTTCAATATGCAATCCAAAAAGATTGCAGGATATCACTGGCTGCAGTCTGATGAGAGCATAAACAAGTAATATAAAATAATCTTAAAGATTTCTTGATGTTTCCCATTTTATACCAGAACAACTCTTTCTTTTCCATTCTTAAGATGTTCTTGATCAGGCTCAGATCATGATATCAAAAAAAAATTAAGGTTATTGTATAGTATTTAGATTATGGGCTTAGCTGAGACTACCAAACTCACCTTACTTGTGATCTCGGATAGGTTTCGAGCTAAATCTCTGGGGGTGAATAGCTGTATACATTAACCTAACATGACATCCATGTTTCTAATTCCAATTCTAAATCAATTTGAAGCTTCAATTAGRAGCCACTTACCCAAACAGAGAGATAAGAGGAGAAAAGAGTTATCTTTGACCTACCTACTGCTTTTATGGGTCATCATTACCAGCAAAGAAACTAAAAGCTCCACCTCTTTGCCACATTTTAGTGGTAGAGGTCATATAGAGATGGGTGCAAAATCATATTTTCATAACTCACATTTGAAAGAACCCGTTGTGTCCTTTCACAAATATATTATAATTTTGTGTATATCAAAACTGTGCCAAGATTATTCTATACTAATGAGCTCCATCAAATTATTACCTAAGACAATCAGATTTTTTGCTTAATAGTTTATAAGTATGAAACGCTCTTTTTTGTTTTGCATTGTTTCCTATGGTGTGACATGTTAATGCAATTTCTATTGCAACCTGAATGACCAAGTATCCTGCCAGGACATATATTCAGCTTCTTTAGTAGCGTACTAGAGAAATTTTTCCTATCATTGTTGATCATACAAACTACAACATAAGCTCTCCTTGAAAGTTCAGTGGTGACTGCATCAGAGGCCTCTCTGAACTGAGGTGTCCTTTGGTATTACCTGTTGTTTTTGTTTTCTTTTTAATCATGCATTAAAGCCTTCCTTGTGTGTTTTCATGAGACCATCCTGATTTCAAACTCCTTAGATTTTTTTTTTTAATCAACATTTGTATGTATTTTAATTCAGGTCACATGTACATTATATTATTATTTTAGAAACAAAATGAACAACAAAAATTTTCTTCTGAAAAATGGAAGGTAATTAGTATAGACTTCCTYTGAACATAATTACCAAAAATGTATAAGAAGTTAGTCATTCATTTTTCAACTCGTTATTCTCATTGTTATCATATTCTGTGTATATTCCAAGTTAGTAAGTGAAAGAAAAAACTCCTGCACTCCAATTCTTTCTTAAAAATACACAAGAAATGGAAATACTATACTTCTAATCAAATGATTTTCTTTATCTCCTTGCCAACTACTGTAAAAATACACAAGCTTTTTAATTTTAGAAATTTAAATAATGTCATATTGCTAATTACCTTGAATAACCTAGATAAAATCTATGTGAGAAGTATCAGTCTAAAAAATATCTACATTCAACTACGACTTTAATTTAGAGAAATAGGTCCTGTGTCGTTGGATAGTCACAGGATCAAGTGCACTAACTATAATCTTTGACTTGTCAAAACACTCACATATGTTCATATTTATTGAAGCAGAAACGATAGCTTATTGCCCTTAATCAGTTTTGGAATTAGTTTGCGTATGCATKTAAGAAAACTTACCTAATGACAGTGTAGAATATTTTCTTATTTGCAAAATTAGTGACATTTTAAGATGTTCTTTGCTGATAGATTCTTGCCTCTGATGCCTTATTATCGATGAATTACAGTAAGGCTGCATCACTGTTTCATTATTTGCAGAGGCATTTTGGCTCTAAACAGAATTTTATTATCTACAAAGCATAAAAATAYCCCGTACTGCAAAGAATTAATTTAGAGAACCTAAGCATATTGCACAGAACATAAAGTTGACCTTTACCGTCTACAGCTTTTGGAATGGAGTGGGATGTGGAACACATCATAGATTTAATGTGGCACAACGCTATCTGCAGAAACTTGGGTGGGACTGTGACTGCCTGCCCATTGCACCCGATGATTGAATCTGCTGTCACCAGCATCCTGATAATAATGAACATTCAGCTTAACGACCGTGATTATGATTATCATAATTGATGTGCAAGTGCAGTGTGTGGGGATCATTACAGCTGAACTGTACAGCAGAGCAACATGCCTTAGTTATGGATAATTTTACTTTTATGCATTGATTGGGATAAAAGATGCTTTTCAAGTTCAACAGGCCAGCTTAATATAATTTTAGGAAAATTTCTACATGTATGAGTTGATGATTTGAGCTTCCTCCAAAATGGTCATTCTAGCTGATTGTTTTGAATTGTTTCATCTGATTAATAACAGAAAATAATTAAATAATTAGACATTATTGAGTGGATATCACTTGCATAGTACTGCCATCGTTAATCAGGTATCAAGTTTAAATATTTCTTATCGTTATGACTTTTCTTGGGCTAGGAAAAATAGCATATGTGGTTTGCTACAGACACACTTCTACTTTTAGTGGAACAGTAGAAATTGGATTGTAGTCAACATTATTGGCATTTTCACACTGTATTGTGTAACCATTAGAGCAGGCAATAATAGTTAGTTATACAAATTATGTAGCTTCCATCTCTGTCACCAGAGGCAGAGAATTACAGGCCCAGTTCAGCCAGTGTAAAGACAGAGCCAGTTAGTCTGTTCTGTTTGATTGTGAGTTCCTTCAAATAAGATTATAGGAAGCTGCAATAGTATTTCACTAAGCCATATTATGACATATGTGCATGCATGTTTACATACTCAGGTCAGAGTTTATATACTCAGTGTAATTTGTAAGGGATTTTCAGCATCTAGTTGAATATTTTATAACACACGATTTTTCAGTTCTGTAATTTCTCAATGGGAAAATGCATGGTGATGATCCAAGGCTTTGAAGAATAAATTATTGGAAAAAAACATTTAGGTGGTACTTATTACACTATCTAACTAGCAATCCAGTGTCATTTGTCTGCTGGAGGATAAATGTTTTGCTTTGCCTACTTTTCTTATATAATAATGCAAATTATATGTTTGTATTTTATGGCATGAAAAGAAAAAATTACTTGTTAGTAAGAGCTAGCTTTAGCTGATATTTCCTTGAGAGGAACGTATTTTATTTTTCTAAATAATTTCAATTGAGTTATTTGAATGTTTTAGAGACTCTTGTATAAGCATAAACACTTTAGATTTATTTTGCCCAATCCCTTCAGTATCTGCTTAGAATACCTGTTTACAATAATTTGTGGCAGAACTTTTAATGTTCTGAAGAAGCATTTTTTTTCTTTTCTAAAGAAAATCATCAATTGAGTTGGAAGCTGTAGTGTTTGATGAATTTGCACCTAAAAACAGTATGCACATAAAAATATTAGCTCTTTTGATTTAGTTTGTCTGGGTGGAAGGAGAAATGCTTACACTAAATAGGAAAGCGCCTGTTTAGGGAAGTCTTTTTCTTTTTGCTGGCTGCTTTGAATGAGTTGTTCAGCATTCCTTGAATTAAGGAGAATCGTTTCAATGCTTGCCAAACAAATTATATTTCAATTCAAACCAGTTTTCCACAATTGAATTTCAAAAGCTTTATTTTGAAGTCAGTAACACTGTTTTACAAAACATGTTTTATCTTATTATTATTTCATATTTACCTTTAGCTTGATTATGCTGGTTAAACAGAGTTGAAATGGAAGTAACAAAGCTCTTCTTAATCCTATAAGAATCACATAGCTAATATAATTGTTCAAAAATGCCTCCAAGATGTAAATACAGAGCCTTAACAAACCTTATTTGTGTAGTTAATGTATGTCAATGGAGCTAAGCTAATTTACATCAGATGATAATGTGGCCCAGGATTAATATAACCAATATGTAGTAAAATGCTGCTTTGGGGGAAA